GAAGTCAAACAAAAAAAAGGTAAGTGAACCTTTGGTTTTGATGATTTTCATATGTCGTCCTTTTTAGGTTTCTTATTTGTTTTAATTTTAGGTTCCACCTTTTGAATAGATTGTGATATGGAAATTGTATTTGCAGATACATACGAGTTGACGAGAAAGATTACACATTGGGAAAAGAAGTTGAGTAAGAGGTGGCTTATGTAATATGTTGATGAATTTTTCTAGGTAAAAGATGATGGAATGAAGGTGCCTGACATGGATTATTATATGATGAAAAGTGGTTTAATATAAGAACTAATGAAAGTATATTACTTTTTTTTGCATTAACATTAATATTCGGTAACAATAAATTTATAAAAAGTATGTTATTTGGGTATATGTTTCTACTATAATGTTTAACCAGATGCACAAATCCTATTTGTAACTTCGTTTTCATTTTTCGATTTTGAAATAATTAGGCTACTTTAACTTGGCTTTGGGAGCAAAGCAATATATTTCATTAATATTTGACTTGCTACTAATTTTAGGATCTACCCAAGTAGAATGATTCGTATTTTCCAAGGACTTCATTCATTGTGTTACTCGCACAAGTATTGTTCCTTGCGTCATTGGTATGATTGATTTAACTAATTGGACAGAAGTGTGAAGAACTTTGGTTTCTTGAGTTGTATTCTATAGTGGTTTAAATTATATCCTAGAATCTTTTATGGATATTTCATTGTTATTGAAGTTTGTAACATTGATGGCTATAGGTTTTGCATCTTATGTTTGTTTCCTACAATCTGAAATACTTTTGTGTATTTATAGAATAATTTGTTGGCAAATACTGTACCATATATAATGCTTAATTTATAACATATTTTATTCTTAGAATTATTCTTTCATTGTTACAAATTTTTTTCTTTCTTAATTCCAGGAATGGGTTACAGATCCTCCATGTATAATATCTCAGTTAACTTTAAGCTTCTTGGTGGTTTAATGGCATTGGAGTACACCTAAGGATTTGAAAGAAACTAAGCATATGCGAGGAAATAATTTCAAGCCCTAAAGATTCCTCCGTTACCATTGCTACAATAAGAAATAATTTTATTAAAAGGTACCATTCATTCTAAAAGTCTACGGTCAGATAAATGAAAGTATGTTGTCCTTTCTGTTATGATGGTTAAACGTTTCTAATTATGCAGTGAAATATCTCATTTATATTCGACTGCAAGGGATAAAAACTGCAATATGTATCACTGGATTTTGTGGGTGAATCAACTGTTTTTCTAAGATATTTATTTTAGTTTTGGTTTTAAATTGAGGTTGTGATGTTGAGCCTAAGCCAATCTGGTATTTTAAAAGAAAGAGATGGTTGCATTTGTTCCTGGTCCTCAAGGTTCAAGGGATTGTCTATCAGGTGGTATATCAAGTTGGTGCTTACATCTTTAAAAATTAGCATATTTTACATGATTTCATCTTTTTGGTTTATTATATCAATTTCTAGCTTCATAAAAGTTTTT